TTTTTTTAGTCTGGAAATAATTATTACAACGACAATGGGAGTACAATTATTTTCTAGTCATATTGCGTCGTATATAATATATAATTTTTTTTCTTAAATTTATATCCCCAAATAAATTTACATAATTCAGTGTTATAATAATATCTATATATTCTATATATAATATAAAAATTTGAATAAACTTGAATTTACTAGTTTTAACGTTTGGCGTTTGCTATGAAGATTGCGAAAAATATTTCACCACAAACAACAACAAAAAAGTACCTTTCATCAACATCTTCAAAATATACAAATATAGGTACATACCTATTGTATTGTTTAAACATAATTTAATTAGAATACATATTACATATTCTGTACATTCTGTACCTATATGTAAAAAACGTATATCATAGTATAAGCAATTACAAACAATTTTAAAGATTTACTGGAGTACAAAATTTGCTCGGATAATATTATAATTACAAGCGTAATAATGTACCTATAAATAACAAAATATCAATAGTTTATTCGAATGCGTACAATGTAGATGTTTTTGATTCATATAACAAGACGTATAGGTGGTAATTATTAATTAACAACGAGTATTAAAAAAAAAAAAATTGAAGCAAACGAAGGAGCATGAGTAGTATAATAATCATTTAATTATTATTACTATATATACCTAAATAAGCAACTCGAATAAAATATATTATCTGACATTTTTTTTTTAATGAATTATGATAACGACCACGCTGCACTGTGATTACAAAACGTCGATGGATTAACTCACCTAAGATCGGTCTGTACATAAAATATAGGGGCTTCCGCTGTTATTCGAGTACTGTTTGCACAATGGGTCGGATCAGCAATACCTCTCTATACATACGAAAAATAATAAAAAAAACACACCCATCGCATCGATTTTTACGAGAGATCCTTTTGAAAAATATCGTATATAATATTAATTTAGTAGAGTCAATCATATGGAAAATTGGGCGATGGATACAATGAATGAAAGGAAAAAATCGAATAACATCGTTACTAATCCGTATAGAGAGCTGTGAGAAATCGAAGGCGGCTCCGACAGTATATAATAATAATGTTAAGACTTTATTACTGTACCAATGGAATTTGTAGGCAATGTTGCAGGTTATGTTTCCATTGAATTTTGCAGTGTTTTAAAGCATGAATGAAATACAATGAATTTTGACGGCTTAACACGCGGCGTACATATAGGATGACAATAATAGTCAAGAATCGTTTTAGAGTGGGTAAAAAAAGTTGGCGATTATTCATAATATATTTCAATTAATATTTGTAAATTGTAATAATAATACAAATAGCTATCGCTGAAAATATTGTGATCATCATACGTGTTATATAATTTTATTATAGTTTTTAATTATTTCTACATGCGATTATTTAATTCGTTAAAAAAATGTTATTTGCCGAAGACTTCAACGGAGATGTCTGTTTTGGTGTAAATCTTAAATTTTATTGATAGAGCATAATATTATATTTTGTTCAAAAATCAAGTAAATAAACAAGTCACGTCTCGTTTTAGTTGCATCGTCATCTCCTATTACTGGTTTCAACAATACGGAATAACCGCGAGTCGTGACCGGAAAACTGCAATTGTTTCGTCTCAATGACATTGGCTATAATGTCACTATTAGTAGTTTATTATCGTCATATTGGCCTATATACGTTCTCGGTCGTCTGATTAAGAAATTAAATTCCCGTATAAGCCATTTTCACTTGTTGTAAAATTTTAAAATTCCATTACGCTGTGTCTATAGATTATTGTTAAACGTCAATGTTTCCGTGCTCTTAAAAGTCGACCTTGATCAATTTCTGACTCTATAATAAATTTATTTGATGTAACAGTATATTATATATACCTAATGTATGGACATATATTGTTTGGATAGACGAGTTCACATAACAAAACGCGCATATTAATCGAAAAAAGAAGTTCCAATACTATAAACACTAAATGGAACCATAGGGGTTTTTTTTATATAGGTACCTAAGAAATATCTTCGTTAAAAAATTGTATATTATCAATCGAAAATTCTAGTTTTAATGATCGTGTACAAAGTACCGTATTTTCAGGAAAATTCCATGGTGTCTGAACACCTATAAAGAAAACATACCTAATTATACCTATCCACTTATACCTATTAAAAAAAAAAAACATAATAATATTATAAAACAACAATTACATTATCTAATTCATTGTTTTTTACTAAAAAATTTAAATACAATTTTTAAAAACGATCTAGATATTATTTTCAAATGGATATTTTGAATTATGTCACATTATATCTGCTGACATTGTTGTGATATTATTACATATTATTAGCAATAATTTGCATAATCATCATGACCATATGCGCACTGTAATTTTAACATAATTATCCACCAGTGTTTTTTGTTAATTAATATTTCCATATTATGGCCATATCAGCAATATAGCTGGTTTGTCCGTTATTTTATTATTGTACAATCTGTAAAGTATTATATTTTTCACAATAAGCACGTCAAGTCATGTTGTGGATTTAAAAGAAATATTAGAAAAAATAGAAGAAAATGAATTAAATAAAATGTACAGCATTTCGGGCAGGGTGCTTGTGTCAAGTGGCCATCCATTGAAGTTTATAACATGTATAATTCTATACATATTGCTGTTTTTAACCGACAGCGAAGTTCACACAACAGTACGCAGGTCATCAAATTAATACTTTATATCGTGTTTGGTACAGTAATAATATAATGGTGTAGGTAGGTAATAGTGTGTGGAATTAGATAGTTGAAATAAACTAATTAGACTTAATTATAATAGCAGTGTGTGGCTATTGTGTCTACATTGTGCGACGGTGATGCGTCTTTATAATCCTTAGCACAGTTAAGTCGATGTCAGCGCAATATTTGTTTTCTCTCTCAGACGTCCTCGTAACATAGGCTTTCACTTAAAATCGTATTTTTTATGAATTTTGAGTGATCTTAGAGTAAAATCGCCCATCACAAAAATTTTAGAGAATGATATTTTTGAGAGTAATATATTATCGGTTTTATATTTTATTATTATTCTACTTTGTATTCGACTTTCACAATAAAAAAAAAATTGCATATTTAAATTATGTTTAAATTGGTCTCGAGACAATATTTAGAAAAATCGATATAATATGTCATACCCTCAAAAATATTATTCTCTGTCTTCTTTACAATGGATGATTTTACTCTTAGATTACTCAAAAACATAATAATATATTATGAAAAATGATTCTGCGTAAATGCGTTTTGTCTATGTTGCGCGTAGGCCAGGGAGAGAAAGCAAACAGTGCACTCTTGACTAGGATAATATGTTGGATATGATACCAACCCGTGGTCCTATAGGTAGAGTAAAAATTGTACAAGAATATACAGCGAAAAATCTGCAGTGTATAGAATTCCTATTGTCGTGCATATAATTATTTTCGAGAAAATTGGTCCGATCATCCGAAAAAATTCATCACACCTACGGGATCGGCATAAATACCTCCGTAGTTGTCGTTGGAATATTATATAGCATCACAGTATACTTTTATACGAAATAGTTCACTCATAATATTCAATATAGGTATACATATTATATATACTTGCTCTACCGTATCGGCTTTGGTAATAATATAATATACTTTTTTAATGTCATGCATACTTGGTGTGCACTTTGTAAAAATCGACATGTACCTTATAATAATGTATTATATTAATAATATCGTTTCCGTTCGCGCGGACGCCCTCGGGGCGAGTTTAACTCTTGTCGGGTGTTTATTTTTTGGCTTAAAAATCACAGCGTGCCCGCCGAAGGAGAGGACAATATATATTGTACAGTATATATATGTACATCATTATGTATACAGTAACCCCATATATATATATATAGTGCATAATATACTTACACCATATATACATATTATTCAATGCGTACAAAATACAAATAATATATATATGGTATTTAAACTGTGAAATCGGTATCGCAGCTATACAAACGTTCGCGTCGTCGCCATCCCCTGCCATCACACATAATAATAATATATATACATATAATATCGTAACGGACAACATAATATACGAAAAGGGCGGCGATCTGTATATTGCATTTTATATATATATTATATTCGCGGGACTAATTGCCTTCTGGTTATCCTCGGGCAGGGTTTATCTAATGTATACATCGCCGCTGTATAACATTTATTGTGTTTTTATCATCTGCCGCCGCCGAGCCCGGCCCCGGAGTACATTATTCCGACGGAGATCCCTTTCGGTTCGACGAACACGTCCATCACTGCTGCGGACCGCGCGGTGCGCTCGTATTTTCGTTCTTTTTTTTTCACCGTCGGCATTATGACTTTTATCACGCGCACAATATACATATACACAGCTTATATATATAACACGCATGTATATAACTCTTATATAGTTATATATATATAACACACGCATGTATATACCTCGTAAATGGTATATAACACACGCATCACATATACCTCGTATACGGTATATACCTCGTATACGATGTACACCGTCTATGTTGAAAAAAAAAACGAAATAATAGAGTACGAGCGGTGCGCATATTATTTTGGAAACCACCCCCGATCCCTGTTATACATCGCGGTCCGCGCGCCACCGGTTGTGGCGACGCTCCGACCAATGGCGGTGCGGCACGGATAGCGCACGACACGCCCAGACCCGCGGGGTGTCCGTGTCGCAGGGACGTGTCCGACGACCGCGGGATCGACGAGTTGACATTTTGATCTCGATCGTCACCACCACCATATATAGTGCGTCTCTCTCCGTCGTCGTCGGCTGTTCGTCGGGCTTTTGTTGATATTTGATGTTTTAAACATTTTTTTTTCTGTGTTCATCTGGTTTTCGGTTTTTATACATTTTTTTTTTTAAATTCATTAACTCGTTTCACTGCAGTAATATTTTATTTAACCACGTTCTGCCGCAAAGGGCGCGAAGAGATCACCATGCAAAACTTTGCGGAACACTCATCCAACGCCATTACCAAACCGACAAACAGTAAGTCTATACGGCAATATATTATATATTATATTATCATCATAACGAACGAAAATAATATCATCATTACAAAACACTCAGTAATTATTATTTGTTACGAACGAACGAAACCGGTCAACGTCTTATGCCACCGTTCAAGTCTTTTTCGTAATTTTTATCGGTTTTTTTTTCGCCGGTGATTTTTGAATATACTATACACGTTTAAAACATTATTATTTTTCAATATAATCAATAATGTCATAAATTAATTTGAACACATGCACATACGAGAGTAAATCAATAAAAACAGTATAATATAAACAAATCGGTAGTAAAAGTCTTGATAAATTATTTCCGCGTAGTATTATTGTCTTGTTTATATTTTATTACTATTTACCGACGAATGATGATGATCGAATTTATCAGTTGAAAAACTTACACACCTTCGCGAGTTCTTCAAGTATATAGGTATACTATGCAGAACATAATATTGTTGATTGATAATAATATTATGTTTTCGTCATACATTAGTCATCAGTGGTGTGTTTTGGTTATGCAATAATGTAATCTTATATCGCGTTTATGGCTACTATATATATTTATTTACTCCTAAAACTTGATTACGTGAATAAATAGAATTGAATTTTAACCAAAAACATTAAGTGATCTATAATTTTGCACGAAATGAAAATGAACATCAATTCTATAATAACCAATCAGTTAATTTATTATTATGAATATTCAGCGGTGAATATTAATTCATTAGTTATTTAAGTTGTATTGTAATATATCCATATCACCCCCCCCCCCCCCCCAAGTTTCTAGTTACGTCACTGGGTTCACCTATCATGTTTTGTTATAACTTATAAGCAATTCCAACAAACAGATATTGTTGGGAATTTGGAGTACACCATATACATGCAAGAACGAATATACTATCAAAATCACAATTGAATAAATAATAATCATTTATTATATGAAACGATATTTATAATTGGTTTTTATTTTAAATGTTTAACGTATGGATAGAAATTAGAATAACTGAGTAGCCTAATAAACTTAAAATGATCTATTGTGATCTTGAACAACAACAGTTTAAATCGTTTGATCAATAAATCATATATCTTGCCATTAACTAGGTACCATAGACCTATAAACTATCGATCAATCTATATCGTACCCCTGACTTCTATCTCTAAGCGCTGTCCATAATAGGTCTATGCTAGGTACACAGTATTTAATATACTCTTTCGTAATTTTACTAGAAAATAATATTATATTGAAAATTATGTATAGTGTAGATTCGTTATAATAATTGTAATATAGGGAAGTACAGGTCATAATAATAGGTACTGAATAATTTTCTTTTAATATTATTGTTCAATAAACGATGCAACTGAGGTGGAAGTATAATACTATAATGGTTCCTATCTCAGTTGTGATACCAAGGAAGCAAAAAAAAAAGTCATAATAGGTAATATTATAGTGTTTTATATCTTTATTAATTTAACATCTGAGTCTGATCATATCTCCTGTATCTAAATACCACTTTCATAGTTCTTCATCTATCCAAAAATATCTTATATATTATCTTCATAGCTATAGCTGATAATTCGTATTATTATAACAAAAATAGTTACGCAGTGGTTAGGGAATTAGAAACATATTATTCTTACATCTGCAGAATGCGGTTGAATCGAATATTCTTTGTATTTTGTATACTTATATAATATAGTTATATAATTATTATAATATTGAGCTGTTACTAATTGTAGTAATTTACTGTAATAAGTTCAAAGGCTGCAGGTCACACACTATAGGCCGTGAACAATGTTTAGTATAGTTTGCAGCGGACAATATTATTCGTACACCTGAAAACCAGACTATACATTTTTCATCGTTGTTCGGCGTTGGACCTATATGTCTTATCTATTTTTAACACCACGGACATGAAGCGAAAATCCAATTACTCAGTTTTCATTCCACTTCGGTATAGGTACAGTATCAGTTTTTTGAACCCCTGCATACACTATCCATGTACATTGTTTGAACTTTATATGGAACACGGTTGACTGTTCACAGATAAATAAAACCCTTGTGTAGTGTGACCAGCTCAATATAGGACGATATATTTTCTTATGATTTGAGTGGAGTGTATACTTTCCTTATCCCTCATTATGAGATAAAAAGCTATTCCCGTCCAATTTCCCCTAAATAAAAATGCACTTCACTTTCACTGCAAGATATTTTCAATTACCGGTGCTCTACAGCGTTCGCCAAACATAAATTATTTACTTCCCCGAAAATTTTTATTTTCATTCGTTACTGTTTTTTACCTAAAGGATGGTTTCTACTTCCTTAATCAATAGATTAGGTCATTAGGAAACTCAACGACCACCCACGGCGCATTATTCTTACCCAATCCCCGAGTGCGTATTTCTCGACCCTATAGCATTCAGTCAAGATTCAGTGCTGTGGGCGGAGTTAGTATAGATCAAAAATTAATTTTACAAGACCTATATGCTTATTCGATCATGTGGAGCACTGAATCGACATAGAGTTAATATAAAGTGTTTAAATGTTAGATATTATTAATCTAGGTATACTATTATCATATTATATTATAAACCTAAATATAATAAAAATATTACTTACCCACTCAAATTTCCTATATAGTATTTAGTTAAATGGTACTTCAATTTAATACGTATAATATTCAGTGTCATATTCGAAATCTATTCATGTAAATGTATAATACATGCGTATAATTTACATATTACATGCGTATAAATAAATAAATATATTACGTACTGGTGATGATTAAATAGAATTTTTTATATAGGTAAAAATGTATGTGATAAACATTGTATATATTCAAATCGTGTTATCAAAGTCATAAAAATGATATGACCGATATCACTAGGTCGTCTCGGTATCTTATATTCTATTATGGTTGATTTCATATTTAATTCAACATAATCCCCACTCCTCAGGGACTCGATTAGTATATTTTTCGTTTCCCGTTCAGGTAATGGAACTCAATTAGTATAATATATTTTTCGTTGAACCCGGAACTCAATTAGTATATTATTATTTTCCAGTCCAGGTATTGGAACTAAATTAGTGTAGCGAACGGAATTCAAATATCTACTATAGGTATAGGTAGTCTTAATTGTTCTGTCATATTGTTTAAATCAAGTATTATAATCTTAACGCGTTGGTCTAAAATTTTAAAACGTACTCAAATATTTTAAATAAATAAAATTATTATTGTGAATTACATTTTAAAAATATTTTAACAAATCAAATAAAAATAATGATTTTTACAGACAGATGGATGAACACCTGGTTGAAAGAGATTCTATTGTTAAACTTGGTATTTTTTATTTGTAGCAATTGCTATAGGTTGAACGTGAATACTTTTTTTAAAACTTATAAACTATAACATAGAGTATTCGTAATAAATTACAATTTGCCGTATGTACAAATTGCATACATTTATATTATTATGCTTTTATAATGTTTGTTATGTGTATAACTATATTGAATATTAATAAAATACAAATAGATTTCGATATAATACTGTACTAAATAAAAGTGTCAACAATAAACACTGAGTATTAATACTTAGGTTTCTTAAAAGTAATTTTGGATAAATACAAACTCCGTCCACTGCACCTAATAGTACAGGGTCGGGAATACGCTACCCTAGTTGGGTCAAAAATTGTTTTCTATGGAAATGGTTAAGGTTAATCAATTAATTTTGCAGTTATATACACATTCATAATGCGAAATGGATATATATATTATACAGTATGGTCGTCAGGTCGTATGCCGATGCACTTGTATACTCGTATCCATATAATATAGGAATTGGTAAGGAAACTTAAATGGTGGTTGTGCCGTTGTGAGTGTTAATGCATTAACAATATTTTCGTATAGTTTTATATTACCTACATAATATCTAATCAACCAAGATGAAAACAAATTTATATAATATTTTATTTAAACGATATTAATATCCCAAGGTTTGATGGATGAACACCTGGTTGAAAGAGATTCTATTGTTAAACTTGGTATTTTTTATTTGTAGCAATTGCTATAGGTTGAACGTGAATACTTTTTTTAAAACTTATAAACTATAACATAGAGTATTCGTAATAAATTACAATTTGCCGTATGTACAAATTGCATACATTTATATTATTATGCTTTTATAATGTTTGTTATGTGTATAACTATATTGAATATTAATAAAATACAAATAGATTTCGATATAATACTGTACTAAATAAAAGTGTCAACAATAAACACTGAGTATTAATACTTAGGTTTCTTAAAAGTAATTTTGGATAAATACAAACTCCGTCCACTGCACCTAATAGTACAGGGTCGGGAATACGCTACCCTAGTTGGGTCAAAAATTGTTTTCTATGGAAATGGTTAAGGTTAATCAATTAATTTTGCAGTTATATACACATTCATAATGCGAAATGGATATATATATTATACAGTATGGTCGTCAGGTCGTATGCCGATGCACTTGTATACTCGTATCCATATAATATAGGAATTGGTAAGGAAACTTAAATGGTGGTTGTGCCGTTGTGAGTGTTAATGCATTAACAATATTTTCGTATAGTTTTATATTACCTACATAATATCTAATCAACCAAGATGAAAACAAATTTATATAATATTTTATTTAAACGATATTAATATCCCAAGGTTTTATTTTTTTTTTGCAAAACTGAAAAAGTATCTTCATAAACAACTAATATAATATATATGGGCGTAAATAATTTTATACTCGCTCAATAATAATTATTAATAATAATTTATCTATTAACCCCTCCCCCCCCACACACATACATACATACATACATACATACATACATACATACATACATACATACATACATACATACATACATACATACATACAAACATAATAATTTACCTATTTATAATGTTATGGTAAACTGAGATATAATATTATATTTTTAATAAAGTTGGCAAGCACATTTTATACGTGAGAACTTATATGCGAGTTGCGAGTTTTAAAGCAATCGTACATATAGTACCTACGGTCGCACGCATGACATACGTGCACGGTGAAAACACCATATTATACCGATTGATTTTACTGAATTAGGGGTTGAAATAACGAGTGGATTGACGTCGTAATTTATCATATTAATAAATGATCTGGGAAAAAAAACCGGGAGCAGCAACGACAGATACGATATAATATAATATATATATATAGGTGCCTCATAGTATAACATCACTTAACGTGCTTATTATATAGGTAGTACATATATTCGAATAATATAATAATTATCCCGGTTCGACCATGTGTCCATAAAGCACGTCATCGTCATCCCTCCCTCGCGCCAAACACGAATACGCGCACTGCAGTTCTCACACGTATAATATATAGGTACCTGTTATTATTATTACTATCGTGATGATGATGCGCATATATACATTTATTATATGTTATACTTACATATTTTTTATCGTGACCGTAAAAAAATTCGTTCCTATAAACGCGTGGTAAATAGAGCACGTCACTGGTATACTAGCAGTGACAGATGACGGCGGTGGTGGTGCACTAATTATCGCTCGTTTGCCCCATTGTTTGTTGGTCGTATATTATTATATTATATAGGTACGTATAGAGGGTGTGTTTCAATAAAGCACTTGCTCCGGCGATAATTTCACGTGATATATGGGAATGGGGCGGTATAGGAAGTGGTGGTGGTGGCGGTAGCCCACGTATGTGTGTGTATAGGAGGCGTATATATAATATATATAGCGCCGACTTCCGGGGACCTGTTGTGCGTTTCCTGCAGCGTCTTTCCCGTGCCGGGTGAGCTGCACATGCAAATAGCCGCTCGCCGGAACCGTCGGATCAAAACGACCGCACAGACCTCCCCCTATATAACCCCCCATCCTTCCACGGGGGTGAAAAAACATTTCGGAAGTCGTCAGGTGGATCGAGTATCGCGTATAGGTTGGTGGTATGTGTGTTGTTTTATACGGTCCATCTGTCTCGTGAATTTTATTGTTGTTCGTGTCCAGTAATTAATTTGCCCGCCGTTGTATGGTCGTCATCATCATCATTCGTCATCGATAATTGATAGTTCCCATGATGCGCGCAGTTATTCCCACGGAAAATAGAATTTGACGTTTTGTATTTTGTTTCCAGGTCGGATCCTCTACGACATACCGTGCAAAGTGTGCAAGGACTTTTCGTCCGGCAAACATTATGGCATATACGCATGCGACGGATGTGCGGGGTTTTTCAAAGTGAGTATACTGCAATATACTACGCTATTACCTCGTTTTTATACAAATCAAACATATATTTTTACCTCTACGGTAGTAAATATATTATTACCTATCATATTATATTCATGCACTGTTTATTAAGTTAAAAAAAAGTTTAAATTGACAATTAGTCACTCTGAGAATTTTAACAACGGAATAAATTCAATATTTATATATACTATAGCAAAGTATTTCACATACATAAAATATAGTTATAAATTATAATATAACATTAATTTGATTGTTATTATTATTTTTTAGAGATCTATTCGGCGTAATAGACAATACATTTGCAAATCAAAATCGGAAGGCGCATGTCCGGTCGACAAAACGCACCGGAATCAGTGTCGAGCTTGCAGGCTCCGAAAATGTATGCTTTCGGGAATGAACAAAGACGGTAAGTAATAAATAATAAACGATTTTCGTGTGATGTTGAAGTATAATTTCGTAATCGTTAAAGCTGTTCAACACGAGCGCGGGCCTAGAACGTCGACAGTTCGTCGACAACTCCAAGGACTCTGTTACTCTAAAGATCGATCGACGAGCAACTCTCCGCCGTTGGATTTAACGCCCAAGAGGTCCCCCGAATGTTCGACCACTTGTTCGACCCCACCTGGCAGATACATTCCCGATTCGCATTTATATTTGTCGGCTTTCCGACCACAGGTAAATGATTACTTTTGAAGGAGTATGAATCATCATCGATGTATAATAATATGTTAACACTACATGGATATAATGATACTTATATGTTTGTGGTTAATCTTTCAGATGTCAATGATGCCGAGATTTTTAAACACTATGAGACTCACGCAAGCAGTTTACGAGACGGCCGCTTCGATTTTGGTCACAGTTTCTACGATCAAAAGTTTTCCCGCTCTGATGACTCTGCCTTTTGTCGACCAGGTATATATACCACCTATATAATATTATGATAATATGGTTTTCGACTAAATTATAATTGAAAATGAAATATAAATTCCGTGCGATGTTTAAACGTGTTTTTTTTCATTCGATTGTCAAGTTTGAATTGCTCCGGGAAAGCTGGCACGAACTGTTCATATTGACGGCCGCTCAATTTTTTTCGGACACCGATATCTCTCTGCTGCACGAAGAGCACCGGTCCAACTTTGGATCGTCGCTGGACATCGACGAACAAATCGCCGTGTTCAAGGATACGTTGGCCGCGGTAAAACACCGGCAAATCGATCCGATCGAACAGTACTTGTTGAACGAAATCGTACTGCTCAAATCAGGTGAGATTATAATTTATTTATTATAACAAGCTGCGACAACGATAGTCCCTCAATAGCAATAAAAATAACCTCAAATAATATATAATATTCAGAGGTGTTCAATAATTATCACCCTCTCTCACGACCTGCAAATATGTAACTGAATTACTCCGTATACAGTTCGACACGTGACTTTGGATTTATGCGCGAATACTAGAAATAGGAGACGCAAACAGGTGGTTTCTTCGAGGTGTACTTATGTACATTATTTTTATAATTCGCATATTATATTATGAATTTCCTATTTGATCATCGATATTTCCCCCCCCCCTCCCAATTAAATATGTATAAAATATATTCGTGGTCACTCGATGACGCGGTATGTACTCGTAGCCCATAGGTAATATTACCTATGCTCCGGCCCACGAGAGTCCATATGTCCAAACGCGTCCGTCTCTGCGCCGAATAGTGGGAATGACATCATGGTGGGAGGAAACAGACGTCGCGTATTACTATATCAATGCGCGGTTTACGTATGGACTCTCGTGGGCCGGAGTATATATATAGTGCCTGGCTGCATGAACAATCACTAAACATTTAACAAATCAATATAGTGAGCTAATGGTGCTAATGATTTAGTGGTCCATGATTGCAGCAGGGGCCCATATTAAATTTTATCAAACCAATGAATCAATACATTTTCCATGTGACCCGGTATGAGTATGCATAAAAAAAAAAATTTAAATACACTAGAAAGCCGCTGATAATACGCTACGTGACATATTATTATTAAATATTATGAAATAGTAAATCGAAAACATAATAATATATCGTTTTTTGCACAGCATCAGTCAAGGGCCGCGGCTGCAGCAGTTCCGAAAACACGGAAACCATTTTGGACGGGCTGTCCGTGAAGAGCAAGGAGGCGCTCAGACGGCACGTGCACCACGTGCACATGGCCCGCCCGGACGCTCGATACAACGAGCTGATCGACATATTACCCGGTATCCGGTCAGTGCCGAAAACCACGGTCGTCGAGCTGTTCTTCCGCCGCACCATCGGCCAGACGCCCATCGAACCGTTCGTGTGCGGCACGTACACCAACTATCTGCAGACAGCGCCGCACTTGCAGACCATCATCAGCAAGGCCAAGATATGCCATTGCTTGCAGTGATGACGGACGTGACGTTTAATATATATTATATTATAGAGCTGGTGGTATTTTCGGTATACCGGTAATTGCCAGTGTTTAAAAAATACAGATATTTTAGAGTAGGTACCGGTATACCGCGTGAATCGGTAATTACCGTTGTTACCGTATATACCGCGTATATGTATATACTTTTATTATTTATTATTTGTATATAAAGGCGGGTTTCCACTATACACGTTTGCCGTGTACACGAAAAATGTTCAGCTATGTCCAACAACACGGTATCGTGGTTAATCGTGTGGTAACTTAACATAACCAACCAATCACAGAAAAGGATTTGTATGCACGGGAACGAGTACGTGTATAGTGGAAACCCGCCTTAATAGTAATGAAATATACCGCGTATGACTGGTATTACCGTAGATACCGGTAGTAAACAATATTGCCGGATACCAGTATCTAAATTTGAAATACTTGCCAGTTCTAATCTATAATACCTATACGACGTAGGCAGTGTAATATTTACCATACGCGTTGTATACTAGTTAAACGCTATAATGTATAAATGGGTACGTTAGTAATAATTGTACAAAAATTGTTCATTATATATTATATACGACCCATATATAGTGATATTGTACATAAATAGTATACATTAATTATTACAATAATATATTTTCCATCATTTTTAAACTCAAATCAACGATTGTTTCTATACATAAATATTATTATTATCATCATTATTGTACACGCGGCTTATGGACGCTCATGCAGGGTTTGAAAAACTAAACAAATTATAGGTACTCATTATTATGTTTATATTATATAATTTTAGAATTATTAGAATAAAATAATATATAATTATTGTTTTGAGCACATATTTTACGAGTAACGTCGTCAAATACTACTATTATTATTATTTTAAATTTGTAGGCTTTATTTTATATATTGTACATAATATTATTGTAAACTGTGATTGAATTATTATTTTTTCTTGAATAAAATTTATATATACATATCTCGAGAATGGTTGGTTTTGTTGGAAAGAAAAAATTCCGGATGTGTGTGGGAACGACGGCGGTCTAGTTAAAATCCAATATTTTTTTTTTGTTATTGTTTTTTTGAGTGCCTCTACACTCGAAAAACAGAATGCGGGTGATTAACAATTGCGATGGCTCCACGGGATGTCAAGTATTGTTTGAAACGGGAACGTCCCGAGGTCACACAGGAAAACAAGTTGAATCGACATTTATAAAAATAAAATAAAATATAATAAATATATAATATAGGAAATATGGGTACACACACTCGTTTTATTGATGATAATAGGATTTTTACATAATCATTAATAACTTAAATCTTAATTATACAATAATGCCTCTCAAGCATATTATTTAAATATTAGGACACTGTCCGACGATTTGCCACCGCGGTACTTGGAGGGTACCTGGCGGCCGACCGTCGGACGTTGGTCGCGACGCTGTTGGACGACACGTCGAAGAAGACGTCATATGAGTTCCGCGAATCCGCCGCTCCGAGTGTTGGACGGGCCGAAAATGGCGGCCGCAAACACGAGACGCAAACGGAGAAGTCCGTCGGTGCGCCTAAAACGGAGAAGTCCGTCCGCGCTCCTTAAACGTAGGACGTCCGGTCTCTGGCCGCCATTTTCGGTCGGTCGAACACTCGGCTCGGCGGATTTGTGGAACCCATATGACGTCTTCTTCGACGTGTCGTCCAACAGCGTCGCGACCAACGTCCGACGGTCGACCGCCAGGTACCCTCCAAGTACCGCGGTGGCAAGTCGTCGGACAGTGTCCTAATATTTAAATAATATGCTTGAGAGGTATTATTGTATAATTAAGATTTAAGTTATTAATGATTATGTAAAAATCCTATTATCATCAATAAAACGAGTGTGTGTACCCATATTTCCTATATTATATATTTATTATTTCTTATTTTATTATCGGCCGTCGTGCAACCGGTCAAACACGCGGTGCGGGCCCATGTCCTCGTCGATGACGAACGTGTCGTCCAGCAGCATCGCGACCAATGTCCCACGGTCGACCGCCGATGAGACGGCCAGCAGGCCCTCCAGGTACCGTTGCAAGTCTTCGGGCAGCCGTCCGTTTATCGCCGCCATGGGCGCGTCCTTGTGCGCCGGCAGACGGTCCGGGATTCCCAGACAGTACGGTTGGGCGACGGCCAACACGGACCGCACGAACACTTCGATCTCTTCCAGTTCTTCCGGCGACATCCCCGCGGAACTGCACCGGGCCGGACGCCAACAAGTGCAAGCCAACGTCGCGACGATCAACAGAAACCACAGCGGTTCAAGTGAGTTCATAATATTCATTATAATATGTCGCGTACGTCGTATTATGGCTGCCGAGAGCACCACCCAACACACGTGTTCGGCCGCAGTGTGCTCAAAATTCGTGTTGGCTGTTCGAGTACAAGTTGAGTGTTAGATAGGTAGAAGAAAGATTGAGTTTCGAAACTGTATATTGTTATAATATTTATAAATTAAGTAGGTCAAAAAAACGAACTAGGAAACTCGTAGGTATTCCATATAGGTGTGTTTCGAGAAGGCTAGAAATTACATTCCAAACACTTGAAAAACCCAAAAAACAAAATAATTCTTATAATAATGCGAGTGTCACGTAGCAACGTATTTATGACGAGGAAACGTTCGAATCAGCTGATTGGGTGGAAAAAAAATGTTCTATTCTACGGAGGCCAAACGCAAGTTGTGTTTTCAGCCTGTAAAACGAAAATCGTGATTTAGATCGCATAATTTATTATTAGGACTATGATTTAGATGCACTTTGCACATTGTTTGCCTGCTTTATGTAACGTATAGGTCTTATGTATTTTAATATCAAAACGAGAACATCTTCATTTATCAATATGGTGACGACGGAAAATCAAATGAGAACTTCTGTTTTCATATTAGAAGTCCATAATTTCATGCAAAATAATTTAGAACGGCCTCAATAAAACTTTATAAGTAGGTACCTAATCAAATGTTTGTTAACTGAAAATGGATATCTTCATATAACTCAATAAACAATATATACATTGGTATATTTGAATATTTTCAGATTTAATGTATTAGGTACCTTAAATAAATCAAATTTATGCATAATATATAATTTAGTAAGTCAATAACCTATTTATTTTATTTAGATTCAAAAAAATTGAAGAATCATATCTTAATACACCATAGAAAATAATTAAATTAACTTTCCAAAAGATACCTAATATAAATTCATTTTTATCTAGTACTTGGCTTCTTTATATATATATATATAAATATATTTAAAAACAAAAAAATTAAAGTTGGACAACTTCGTTATAGTTATGTCTTCAAATGAAAGAGATTCTAAAATATCTTTGTTTAAATTCATCAGCATCAATCATCCAAATTATCCATCGACAAACGATTTGTTAATCGAGTTTTTATAAATGTTAAAGTTGAAAAACTTCTTTCACATCCAATTTGAGTACAAGACAATATTAGACGTTAGTTAAAGTAGTCTTATTTAACACAAATTACAGCGCCCAGCGGCCCACCGGTGCTCCGGTGGCCTAGTCCAACCATCATGTTGGGTAGGTTTTCGGTTGGACAACGGTTGTTTATGTCTGTCTACGATTGTGTAATCGGCGTTATCATTTTCGACCGTTGTAGTTGTCGACCGCCGAACACAATGCCATTATTATAATATGCCATTATCGTATGATATTATATTATCGTTGCGGCTAACTTTTGTTCGTCAGCGGCGTTCTCACCGCACGAAAACGTCGAGTAATTTGCCCGCATATAATATGTATAATATATTATATCATATATACAAATCATCTACCAAGCGCGCGCGCGGGGGGGGGACAAAAAGGGGTGTCCCTCGGACCAAATCCCCCGGGCCGGAGTCGAACGGTTTAGTACGCAATAATAATAATAATAATATAAAAGGCAGGCCCATATGTGCGTACGCTAGTCGAGGTTTTCGGCGTGGCACGTCGCATCGCATAATATTATAATATATACTCACACCCGATTTAGACGCGATCAGTCTCTGTTTTCGTTGCCCGCAGTCGCCCCGCCGCAGTCACATATATATAATAATATATTTTTTGTACGCTGCACACATAGACGGCCAGATAAAAATGGCGTTTCGACTCTCTATTATGTTATTTAGGTGCGCGCATTATATATATTATTATATTGTGTTGTGTGCGCGCGACGCGAGAGGATATAGAGTTACCCCTAGGGCAGCACCGTGCAGCAGTGATGTGCGCCCATTGTGGAGTGCGTATACCGCACGCATATACGCAGTCAGTGGTGTGTGTGTGTGGGGGGGAGGGGGTAAGAGTAAAATAGACTCTGAGAGAAAGAGGCGATGATGTTTATAATGCACTATACATACACACACACACGACGACGATAAAGCCCTGCCATCATCCCCTCCCGTCGATATAAAGAAGACAGCTGGGTGGGTACGCGGGCGCGTGTGCGTGTGTGTGAATTCGATAATCTCTCACTCTATATATATATACCGACGACGACGGCTCGGACGACGGTGTGGGGAAGAGCATATGTCACTAGCACGCCCTTTGCGAGGATTATAAATACACATGTATATATATATATGCCGTATTATATATGGAGGAGCGGCGAAATGTTTGGTCGGGTAATTGACGGCGGATTTTCGACCGAGTGGCCGATTCCGCGGGGCCCCCATTCTATACATACGCGAATATGACATATTATTATTATGGGGTGCGCGATTGGAGAAGAAATAAATATCATATAAGGTACCTACTACTATATACCTACTGTTTAAGAAGAGGGTTGCGCCAAATTCGCCTCGCCTCGAGACGATACGACCGGTTGCGCGTACGTGCAATTTTTATTGTTATCGAGTCGACTTTCGGAAACTCTGGCAAGTTTGAAGGGGAAAAAAATTCGAATTATTAAAAAGACATATTTTTTTAATGCCGAGTCACCGAAAACCAACAAAGCGCTAGGGTGGAGAATTTTTTATCGAGAATTTCGAGATACCATGTTTCGAGCTACCGAGAGTCGACTGTATATATAGGTACATCACCCGTATTTACGCATAAAATGATATTACTCGGTAAAATTGAAAATATAATTTATACTTAGTTAGGTATACTTGAAACTTTCAAGCGGATAAGGCTATTCTGCTTAATATCCGAATAGTCTATATTCGGCAATGTGGATCACGGCCCACAGGTCGTTATAGGTACCTATCTCATATCTGTTCCTGTTTCTTTTTTGATGAGTTTACAATAATATAGTACGTGAAACACAATTATCAACTCGTTTTGAAGAAACGGAATAGGTGTCTACCGCTTGTTTCATTGAAAGTAATCGGACTACATCAGTGGCGTGGCTAGCATATGTGAAACCCTATCAAAGTATTTGATAAATTACTTACCCGCCATTACCCCTACTACATAATATATAATTTAAAGGTGTACCTAAACTAATTTAAAATTGTTGTTACAGAATGTCATCAATAATTTAGCATAAACAAAGACTATAATAATTGACTATATACTATGTCTTTTGGCAACCCACAAGGTGGGCAGTCCGCTAAATAAAGTTGTTATGTATATATATATATATATATATATTATATTCATCCACATGACCACATATATTTCGTCCAAATTTAAATTTAAAAAAAAAACCAAATTCATTTGTAGGATTAAGTAATTGCATTAGGTAAACGTCGTTCACTACGCCACTGGACTACAGTAGGTAAGGTATATAATATATAATAGGTAGTAGGTACCTAGTAGGTTTACTAATACATCTGTTAAAAACCGAAACCGCGAACAAGTATCACGTGTACGTATCGTCTACATTCTACAACATGATATAATATCTTAATTATATAATCGTAATATTATAATAGATGTGCGACGAGACGACTTAAACTGTTTAAAAGTAGATCAGTAGACGGTAGTATGTAAATATGTTATTTATTCGACGTTTCACTTATTTACTCTAATCGCGGTGTCTACAAACATTTTTTTTTCGTGTGAACGTGACCCCGAAAAGTCTGTCTCGTGCAATTTTTCGAAACTTATCCCACTCCGCACACTCTTCGGCCCCCGGATACGGGTGCATACCACTATAATAGCGTCCTAGATTTTATTTAATAGGTAAGTTGAGTCCGGATCGAAAATAGGCGAGCTAAGGTACTATTGCGTCCCAGTGTACATTTTTTAATAACCAATAGTATTATTGCGTCCCGAAAATCTACTAATTTAAGGCATTTACGAACTAAAGGTACCTATACAAATTTAAATATGCTAACATAAAATGTATCCGTCTTTTTCTAAGTCGTTCCTACTAACTGCAAGCTAGGTAGCTACTACAGTCATTTAAAAGATATATAGGTATATATAGAAAAATGCTGATTATTATACTTTAACTATATTGCAGACTATCGCTATAGCCTATAGTACTCTAGTTATTTCATACAATTTCATTTTGATTTCAGTTCAAATAGGTATAGGTACTATGTAGCCACTACGCATATAGGTAATATAACATAATATTCAACACATATACTAGAAATAACAGTTTATATTTAGGTACATATATTAATATATTATAGCCAACGTGTATGACGACTGACTAGTGACTAGTGACGACTACGATGGCAATCTTATCTAAAGACCAAAATATTTATGTTGTTGGTCTCTAGTCGATTATAACAAAAACCAATCCATAATAAAACAAATGAATAACAATATTGTTATTTCATGGAATATCGAATAACGATAAACATCATTTTAGATGTAACATACTATTATAGTAACATAATATAAATATATAAAACAAATTTAATAAGCACTTATTTTCCAAGTTGGTCAGTATATTTTTACTGAATTATTTAGTTTTTTTGTTAATATGAATAATACCTACATAAGTATTAAGAAATCAAAATTTACATTAAATGTAAAATGCAAAATATAAATGAAAAAATACTTTGTGTTTAATAATAATAATAATCAATAATAACTATTGATTTATGAATTATATTGATTATCGACAGTGTTGAGTGACATGGTAACATCAATAATAATGATATATAGCCGATTTAAAATTGGTACTTATCGTTCAAGTTAACGTAAATTACAGGATAAATTTACTCTACCTGTATATTATAGGTACCTTTTTGGGGGGACACAAGTAGTATGTAAAACCGCTGACTACCATAATTTATTATATTAAATAGGATTGGCATAGTATTTTCCCCAGGGTAAAAAATTTTTACAGTTTGCATTTTCCACATTCTAAATTATAGCAGGTACCTA